GGCTTGCCCCGCTCCGGTGCTCCAGCTGGGGAGCAGGGTTGGGGGTTTGATGAGGTGGGTGAGCCTGAATGATAGATGGTGGGCCTTGATGAGGTGGGTGGGACTGGCACAGCATCTTTTCTGATTTAAAAAAACACATTGCCATCACAGCTCTTTTGAAAATGAGGCCCTTCAGGGATGCTGCAGGAATGACGTTATTTCGTCTTTGCATGAAGTATGTACTGTAGTACACTGAAAAGTTTTAGCTAACATACAATTTGTGTTCAGACAGGAGAAAAATTGTGTGGTAAAATCAACAAACAGCTCAGTAATGTAATTTTCTAACAGTGCTATTGTTCAACAGAATTATTTTAATAAGATGTTTAAAGAAACTTATGTTGTCCCTGTTTGAATGTGAATTGTTAACTTTGTGATCACTCATGGCTCGCCATACTATTTCCATACCCAGATGTGGCCCTCAGGCCAAAAAGTTTGTCCACCACTGGTCTAGAGAGCACCAGGTTGAGATCCCATGGGGGAATTGGCTGTCTTACTTGAGGGTACAGCCTCTCTATGCCTTTGAGGAAGTGGCCCACCATGGGGTTTGCAAAAACAGAGTGACCAATTGATTGGGATGGAAAGCTGAGATAGCGGCCAGGTGCACCTTTATTGACAATACCGACAGACCTTGATGTTTCAGATGCAGCAAATAGCCCAGGATAAAGGGAATCGATGACTGTAAGGGTGGAATGTCATTTTGTAATGCCCAAATGGAGAATCTTTTCCACTTGGCCAGATACATGGCCCTGGTGGATGGCTTTCTGCTGCCAAGAAGGACCTCTCTAACAGGGTCTGAGCATGTGAGCTCCAAAGGGCTTAGCCACAGAGTTTCCATGCCACGAGATAGAGAAACTGCAGATTGGGATGCTAGAGGTGGCCATGGTCCTGTGTAATCAAATCTGGGACCAGGGGCAGAGTTATCGGCATGTCCACTGACAGGTCTAGAAGCGTGGTGAACCAGTGCTGGCGTGGCCCCGATGGTGCTATTAATATAATTGATGCTCCCTCCCTTCTGACCTTCAGCAGGACCTTGTGTACAAGTGGGAAGGGCTGAGGACCGCTTGTTGATTGGCAATCCGAAGCTGAAGCCCCCCTGTGAATAGACCTTATGGCTGAAGAGGTCATAGCTTTTTTGCCTCCTTAAATTTGGGCGTAGGACCCTGTTGCCCTGGTCTTTCTTTTGTGTTTGCTGCTGCCACAACCAGCGTGCCCGGCTGAGGGTGGGTGAATAGGTATTTGTACCCCTTGGGGAGTACAAAGTACTTCCTTTCCACCCCCTGGGTCATGGGGGGAATGGAGGTGGGGGTTTGCCATAGGGTCTTCTTGGTGATATTCTGGATGATCTTGTTCAAGGATAAGGCCACCCTTAAAGGACCCTCGGGGGTCAGGATGTCCACCAGGGGATCCGCTTCTTCTGAAATCTCCTCCGCCTGGAGGCCCAGATTTTGTGCTACCCTTCTGAGTAGCTCTTGGTGGGCAATATTGTGCATAGTCAGCAATGTGGCAGATGAACCCGCTACTGCCTCGATTGGGGAGGAAGAGGATGCTGCCCTTAGCAGCACCGGGTCCTCCTGAACCTCTAATTCGTGGAGGTCTTCTCGTGCTGATACTTCCTGCACGGTGGCAGGGACGGTCTCGGTGCCGGCCTTGGTGCCGGTTAGGACGCTGAGCTCTGATCCCCGCGGAGGTTCCCGCACTATGGAGGATGGGGGGGGCCTGCCCTGTCCGAGGCAAAATATAGAGATCTGGATTCCAGAAAGGCCACTGTGTGGGCACCTGCCATTGTGGTGGCCAGGACATCATGGGAACTTGCTGATCGTCCTCTTGCCTCAAATGGTGATGACAGCGGTGCTGGCTCCATCTGGAGATGCACGATTCTGGCTCCGAACCCAAAGACGAGTCCGACCTCGGTGATCATGCCAGTGCTGAATGGGACGGTGTTGGAGAGTGGTGCCGAGGGGAGGGTGACCAGTGCCGCATCATGGCCGGTTTGCCCTTAGAAAGCATGGCTCCTCTGTGCAGTATCGGTGCTGCCGGTGCCGGGGACTGCAGGGCTGTCATCGCTATGAGGTTCCTGGCAGCCTCAAACATGTCCGGGGAATGGAAGATCCAACTCCCCCATTTGGCTCTCCCACGCTGGGGAGTCCAACGGGACCGGACTCGACAGACCTGCCTATGAGGCCAGAGTCAACATTGCCGGTTTCGCTGGAGCAGGGGCTGAGGCCAATACGGGCTGTGCCAGCTGGGGACGAAGAGCCAATTCCATAAGGAGAAGTTTTAACCTACAGTTCCTCTCCTTCTTGGTTCTTGAGTGGAAGCCTTTACAGATTTTACACTTGTCTGTCTGGTGGGCTTCTCCCAAGCACTTTAAGCAGGAGGGTCTCCCGTTGGCATAGGCTTCTGGCAGTACCCGCACGGTTTGAAGCCTTGAGACTGAGGCATGTCCCGGTTCCCGAGAAGGAGGGGGGGGAGAACATGGAGGGAATAAACCCCAACAGAAACTTATCTAACTAACTATCCTATATTAAAACCACTAAATAACTCTAATTAAAACTATTTACAGATACAAATAGGAAAGTCCACTAGGGGATCACTTGCCATAGCAAGAGAGAGAAGAAGCAGCTCCAACGACCATCACAGGTGGTAAGAAGGAACTGAAGAGGCGGCGGGTTGGCAGGGATCTATATATCCATGAAGGCGCGACACCAGGGGGCTCCACAGCCGATGCAATGGGTACTGCTAGGGGAAAAGCCTTCCGACAACTGTGCATGCAGCGCGCGCACACATACTTGGAATTGACATGAGCAAGCACTTGAAGAAGAACCCAGGCTTCTTGGAAATAGGGAGGGAGGTTGGCAAAAGGAGGGTTGGAAGGAGGAGGATCTGAAGGTCATCCAGCAAGACTCTAGATGTATGCATCAAAACTGTTGCTTGCTGAAGCCCCAGATTGGGGGGCAGCTGAGGAAGAAGCAGTGCTCATCTTTGGTGAAATTGCTGCCTCTTCCTCAGGCAATCTGAAGACCATTGCTGTGGATAGTACTGACAATATGGTCTCTGTCTCTAGAATGGTTGCTGTTGTCTTGGGTGCTTTTTTGGGGGGATGGGACATACAGTCCCAAGGATCTTAGATTGGCTCTGGGGTCTTTTAAGGTATGGAATGCCACATACATACAACTATAAAGAGCTCATTGCCCTTGAATCACAAGTCCGGTGACCTGGATCCCCAATGGAATTCCTGATGCTTGCAGCCAAGAAGACCTCCTCATCACCATGGCAGAGGCCATCAACCTCTCTGCCGTGTTTGATGCATTAAGCACTGTTTGTATTGCTGTTCAGGCCCTGGGCTGACCCTCTGTCATTAGGCACTTCAGTGCCCTGTGCCGGTCTTTCGGGAGTCTGTCCATTAAATTGGAATGTCTATCCTGTTACAAGAAGAACAGGAGTACTTGTGGCACCTTAGAGACTAACAAATTTATTAGAGCATAAGCTTTCGTGGGCTACAACCCACTTCTTTGGATGCATTGATATGCAGAGAGCAGTGTCTGAAAATTTGACACACTCATCTGAGGGGGTCCACCCAAAGAGATCTAAGTCCTTCATGTCTTTTCTCCTGAGGGGTAGATTGGTCTAGCCTTACACCTTTGCAAGGCTGGCGTTAGGGGGTAGGAAGCAGGGCAATTGCCTGGGGCCCCATGCCACAGGGGCCTGGCATTGGGGAGCTTGGGCTTCAGCCCCTAGTGGCGGGGCTTTGGCTTTAGAAACATTGCAGAAATCCAATGTGTGAACAGGTGAGACTGGGTGGGTGCTCACTCCTTAGTTTCTGCCCTGGCCCCAGTAAGTTTAACGCCTTCCCTGCTGCTTTGACCTCTCAAGGGCCATATGTACTATAAGTATACTGGGGAGGGTATTAATGGAAATATTCAAACCCTGTAGCAGATGCCTGGTATCTCCTTTCTGCCCTTTTCAGTGTCACTGGGATTAAAGGGGTGAGGATTTTCTAGATCAATGTGGATGGTTTGAGTAGTCCATTATTAAGAATATGGTTAGTTACTCCATTGCAGGATATCCAGATGCTTATGTTATTTCTTCTGGATGGCCTCCAGGGAGAATCTAGCATCTCTGCCATTATTTTAACAAGTCCTGGAAAGCCTTTAGCTCATTCATTGAAGCAGCGGATGGAAGATTAACTGCCTCATCTGAGGAGGAGGATGAAATGGCCAGAGCTGGTGACTTTCTGTGGAGTAATTATGCCTACTATATTTGTTTTTTTCCTCATTTTGGCTATTCTATGGGGGAGAAGAACCCATGAATATGGGGGTCTTTACCGGGAAAATGTCCTTATACAGAACACAACTAAGTCAATTGGCAAAGAAAAACTTACCAATACTATGCTAAAACTAGCAATAAACTTCACAAACTGTAGGAGAACTAAGCTAGCTACACACTAAGAGCAAGGAATGCAGATACTACAGGGTTCTGTCTCACAGATACTATAGGGTTCCATCTCGCAGGCATCAGCGAAATGAAGGAATTGAGTGTGGTTGTGGCTGCCCCACCCTTTATGCCTTCGGCTCTGAGGAATGAGAGGGCACTCAGGGCACATGTGCAGCTCCAGCAGACACTGATATTAAAAAGACTCCAATCTCACACACCAAGAGTGGAATCTGTGTGGACAATCACTCAAAGAAGAAAGTCAGATTACTAATACATTGTGAGGAAGATGCACGACCTACAGTAGATGCATGCAACTAGTGGCTGGGCAATTTAGCAGCTTTTAAAAAATTATGCAATGAACTTCTGACTCAGTAATGAGGATCTACTGTAGAATACTCCCTTTGGAGAAAAGTAATGTGCACCAGATTTATAATATACAAAGAGAAAATTAAAAATGAAGCAGTATATTTGTGTGTATAAAGTAAACATATAATGTAAAAGTCTGCATTGTTTACTAGTGTACTTACCAATCTGAATGATCTGAGAACAGATAATCCTTCCACATTTGCAAGACCAAGCTCCATTAAACTGAGGCTCACAATAATACTATCAAAAATATTCCAGCCTACTTGGAAATAATAATAAGGATCCATGGCAACTATCTTGAGAACCATTTCTGCTGTGAAGATCCCAGTAAAGACCTAAAGGTAAAAGATAATCTGTTACTCTAATAATATTGAAGAACATTTTAGATACAAATAATAGTGACAATGTTTAACAAGTTATATGTGTCCAGTGACTTACCAAAATAGAAGGGCTTTCTATGATAAATCTACATAGCTTCTAAATATTTCTGTGCACTGATTTAGCAATCAAATTCAGAAGTGAAGCTAAAACATGCCTCACAACATTTAATTGCTAAACGGGAATCAGCAAAGAAGGGAAATAGGTCTTCTCTTCAAACTGCTAATAAGCATGTATGGAGGTTGTCAAACAGAAACCATTCTAGTTGTTCCTTCCTTCTCAAATGCCATCTTTGCTCAATTTTTTGAGATAAGGCTAAACTTATTTGAGACCAGATTTTTCCATTTTGACACAGACTATATTGAGGATGGTGTGCAGCAACCTTTCTCCCAGGATGACCTCCAGAAGGTCAATCCATGGCACCATCTTCTTCCAAGGTGGACTATGTTCTCCCCTGTGCATCTGTCCACATTGTTGTCCAGTGCACAGGGGCCAGAACTATGGCCCTCTTCCTGTTCCATCTTTTGGGGTTGCTAGCACATCAGGAAGAGTTAGCAGGAAGCAGTTTTTATACTTAGAAGAGTACAGGGACTGCAACTGCAACTCAATCATGGTCTATAATTATCTGATAGTAAAGTGCTCTGTAACCAAGCAGACAAAGATGTCACAAGATCTAACGGCTAGAAGGTGAATGTAGAAAAATTCAAACTAGAAATATGGTGAACATTTTTAACAGTAAGGGGGTAATTAACCCACTGAAACAGCTTACCAATGGGGTCTTTAAATCAAGACTGATTGTCTTTCAAAAAGATCTAATTCAGCTACAAGTTATTGCACTAGCTGCAGGAATCACCAGCTGAAATACCATAGCTGTGTTATGTAGGATATTATCATAACTGTCCCTTTGAATTGTGTCTGCCTCTAGTGTAGGAGAGTACAAGGTAAGGAAAGTTTCTTCTGCCCTTCCTCACCCCTCACCCACCCAGGCACATTCTGAATCCAAATCTGGATTCCATTAAACAAGTAAGTACCTCACAAATAAGGCATAAGGTGTGTATTTTGTAACCAGATTGCAATTTATCGACAAGAGTGATCCTCTGTACTCTATCACACTGATTACCATTTCTGGGAGCATGCCTTTCTGTAAATGAGATCAATGACAATTGAGAGAGCCATTCAAAATATCAGACAATTTTACAGGACTTCTGGTGTCTGCTCCTTATTTGTTCTACAACTAGGATAATTTTTTTGAAGGGGAATGAATTAAACTTTTTTATTAGCAGTCTATTTGTATAGGCAAAACTGGAGGTATGCTTTTGAGGTCTCTTACAAACACTGCATTAAAGAAAAGACAAACAGTGTATCTTAAACATGCACAGTTAAACAGAGCGGCCTGTGAGCATATCACAGACTGTACAAAATATCTTTGTAAGATGTGTAAGGACACTCAATAATTCTTTTTAAGAGAAATGTATTTGTATGTCACATGATACATTATGAAAGACTTACCAGATTTCCTACTGAAAGCACGTGACTAAACTGTTCCGTCATTGGATAATGCTCCATGGCCATAAACAATGTGTTTAAAACAATGCAGATAGTAATAGCAAGATCGACAAATGGATCCATCACAATCAAATTTACAATATGTTTTACTTTTAACCATTGAGTGCAGCAATCCCAGATCAAGCATGTGTTAGCAAATCTATACCAGCATGGTGGGCATTTCTGCCTGGATTCTTCAAGTTCTAGAGGGAAAAGTGTAAAACAAATTTAAAAAGATAGCTCTTTATTATATGTATCAAGTGGGTTTTGTTTTAAGGCCTAAGCATTCTTCTCAATATTTAGGTGACAGAAATGGTATGATGAAACAGATCCCTTGAGACCCAGACTGATGTCCAGCCACAGCAAAAATTAAATAATTAAAAAGAGGAACTTGGACCAATAAATTCTAAAACTGATGTTAAAAGAATTCTAGCTATTCAATTAATAAAATAGCCATTCACAAACCAGAATCTAAACAGGAAGCAAAACACAGCTTTAATTCAAAGGATACCATAGCAGAATCCTGGTGTACTTCAGTCACCTTCTGACACAGTATAGAACTTACCTTGGGGATGGGATGTGGCACATGCTCTCATTTCTTGAGTGAGCTTTTCTCTCAGGTTTATGAGACTGTTTTCCATATCTAATAGCTAGATTGGCCCTATCAATGTCAGAATTGGAGAGACTCAGGACCCAGATTGTAAGGAACCATTGCACTCCATCACTGCCCTTGTTATCCACCAATTATCCCAACAGAAATGGATGGAAGCATCAGAGTACAAGAATACAAGAGAAGGATACATGACTGTTTCCCCATAGAAGTCAAACTAATTAAATAATTTTGGAGGGATTTTATTTGCACTTGAGAGTCAGAGACAGGGTCACTTAGCTCATGCTGTTCTTTTATTTTATATCCAATGGCTGTCACGGCTGAGGGTGGGGACCTCCCTGATCGCTTGAAGTAGTATTTCTGTGACAAGAGTAGAAGAACCTGGTGATTGTCACTGACTGCATGAGTGGGCACCTCATCTGCTTGTTTGATAGTATTCTTTTGGATGAAACCAGGGGAACCCAGTTGCTATCAGCATCTGTGCAAGTGGGACCCTTGCCTGTTTGTCTCTAGACAAGAACCAAGAGACATAAATATGCCCTTAACCTTGTCCTCTTGGCACATAAAACCTTTCCTTTGCCCTTGTGATCTTGAGGTGCATGAGAGACGTACTTTTGCACTTTACTGTAAGAGGGGTGATGTGGTACTGTTTTGTTTTAGTTATGATCTTCTGATTTTCAGATGCTATTTTGCGCTGCTACCCAAGGTGAAAGCTGGTGCCAAGAGCCTCAAGGTGGTAACAAAATTAAAACAAGTTTATAAAAGACCTACAACTTGACCTTTAGCTATGAAGCAGTTAATTTTTTGTTTATTGTTTATTATCTAAAGTGGGTTCACTGTGTGGAAGGAAAAAAGATCCTTGATGGGGCTACTCATGTGAGTAAATTTACTCATATGCATGAGTCTTTTCAGGAGCCGACCTCAAATTAAGCTCCAATCCTAAAACCATTCAAGCATTTGTGTAACTTTACTCATATGAATACTCCTCTTGACTTGAATGATTACATACGGTCATCCTTTATTATGATTTAATTAGAAACACTATGGCCTTGTCTACACTTATGGCAGCATGTAGGGTACATGTGACTAACCGCTGAAGTAAAAAGGAGGCTGTGAACACACTTCAGTGTGTAGCTTCACATGGCAATTAAAGGCTCTGGCAGAAGGAAGGCAGAGGGACACTACAATGCTAAAAATAGCAGTGTAGATGGTGAGAGGCACCTTTGGGCCATGTAGATAGTATGTAGAGTATATACCATAAAATTCTGGCATGTCTTTACTCCACTCATCGAAGCAATGCCTCATCATCTACAGTGCTATTTATACCTTGCTGGGGAGCATGCGGTGTCTGTACTCTACATAGTGCTGTAAGTCTAGACACAGCCTATATTGTTGGAGTGATACGACTTTGTGTGGTTATCCAATCTGATCTCACATACTAAACATGTTTGAGCTGGGTCAGTGTTGGGATCCAAGACCTCAACAGAAAAGACAGCTGCTGCTCCTGAAGGCAAGAAGTTCTAAGGACCTGCTGATGCTATTATCAATGTGGCTCCACAAGAGGTAGAAATGGTGGGAATATTAGTGTAGGCACCGAAAACAGACCTGATCTGAGCAGGGTTGGGTTACTTGGCAGCTAGAACACCAGTGGCTGCTCTAGCTAGCATTCCTACCATTGCTGCCTCCCAATTGAATTGCATTTGTGAGAGTAATGGTGGGAAATTTTATGTAAAAAATCTAGCACTGACACAGCCCTAGACCATGTCTACACCAGGAGCACTTTACTGGTACAGGAAAAATGGTATACTATAACGTCAATACGCTCCTGATGTGGACACTTTGTACTGATATAATAAAATCACCACCATGAGTAAAACAATCTATACCAGTCACTAGCTTTGCCAGTATAGCTTCATCTACACTAAGGATATCTGCCAGCACAACTATGTCAGTCATGGATCACACCTCTTCACACCCTGACTGACACCTATGTCAACAAAAATCCGTAGAGAAGACCAATCCTCAGTCACTTCCCCAAAGTCAAACAGGAATTCTGTGACAGAGCCAGGAGTAGAAGCCTAGTCTCCTAACTCACTGTACTGTGCTTTAGCCACAAGACCATCCCTTCCCATATACACTTCCAGGTGAACAAGTCAAGTGTTGCAGAGTTTTTCTCTGACCCGATATTTATACTATTTATACTTAGTCATATCAAACATACCATGCTACATACCTTCCATTGTGTTTGTGAGTATGCTGGCTAAACTCATTGCTCTTTGCCTTGCACTGGGCTCTGCCAGGAAATCCATAGAAACATGGTAAGAACTTGTCCGTCTCTTTCTTAATTCTGTTTCTGTTGTGGTGCCCTGAAAATAAAATGCTGATAAAATAGACTATCACCATGTGTGTTGATTAATAAGCAAACACTATATGGATTCTATAAAAATGTAGTGAGTTTCCAGGAAAATGAGGGACGTGTAGGTTCATACCCCCAGTATACTGATTTCATTTAAGTCTCAGTTCAGTTAAAAATTTAAGCACATGCCTAACTTTAAGCATGTGAATAGCCACATTGACTTCAACGGGACTACTTGTGTGCTTAAAGTTAGGCATGTGCTTATATACTTTGCTGATTCAGGGCCCAGAAATTCAATTTGCACGTCTTTCTCGCATTGGATTTAACTATTTGTAAATTTGAAAAAAGATCCACGGAATTTGGCACTGAGCTTTTTTATAAATATCTTTCTAAATATGTGGGAATATCTTTTCATAAATCTGTATCTGCACAGCCTACATAGACAGGCAGCTGTGGGCACAAGTGAGGTGTGCATATTTTCTTGGGTTGATTCTTCATTTAGATTGAAAATCTATACAGTAAGCCTATACCTAAATTTTCAAACCAAAATCAAAGGACAAATAATGTCTAATCACACTGAAATTTATACAAAAAATTAACCTGTAAGAATCTTGAACTGACTGAGAGTAGTACCATCACAACCCATTCAAGATAAACACAGTATTCTATTGACAGGGGTATGTGGAGTTAATGGGAGTTATACCATGGCTTAATTTATTCCATTAATTATATATAACCCATTTATCATTTTTGTAATTTTTGACATCCATCTGATATAGGAATGCAGAACTTCCCAATTAAATCTTCAGTGAAAATGTACTGACTGCCTTGATATATAATAAAGCCATACATTTTGCTAATTACATTATTTACTATTTTATCTTGTTGATGCCTAGTGTATTAACAAGTATTTTCAGGTATTTAATTAGAGATTGGGAGACAAATTTCAGTTTTTAGCCTGTGTCATTTGTGGAGAATATTAAAGGTGTTAAAATATGCAGGATCATTCACAGCTTGACCAAGCAGAAATCATTCCCAAGTGATTTCATTTTGTAGAAACACAGGCCTGTGTAGTAAGAAGAGGCCACCTTGCCTATTAGAAACTTCCTTACATTCATAAAACAGCCACTGCTGGCAATGATCACCTCTGGGAGAAGCTGTCCAGGTGACGTGAGAGCCGGAGGTCCACCAACTAAAGAAACCACTCCATTGCAATCTACAGTGCTGTGCATTTTCCCATTTGCTGGAAGCACTGGTACCATCCTGGATGACCTACTGGCCTGACTAATGTTACTGTTGCGCCGTTCACCATGTCTATGTGGAACAAAGAGAGAACCTCTTCTACTCTCATTGTCTTCAAAAGTGCTGTGTTCATCATCGGCAAAGTCATTTTCTGATCCGACATCCTTTGCTCGACCTCGGAAGCTGAAAAGACTCGTTCTGCTGCTGCGCCTTGGGGAAAACAGGGAGCCACGAATGCTCAGCAAAGACTGTATGAAAAGAAAATTATATAATTATTAGCTGAAAATTCTTAAAAAATGATTTCATATGGACAAATACAAAGTTAATATGTTCTAAAAATTTAGTTCATAGACAAAGAAAGAGACTATTGCACACACGTGCGCGCACACACACACTTTTAGGTGGCTTGAGAGTAAAATTAATCAAAGAGAGCACACAAGTGATTGCCACTGCCCATAGTTACTTTTCCACTTAGAAAAATAAAATCAATCCGTTTAATTATAGTAAAAGATGCTGTTTAATGAAATTGCTTCCTCTAACTCTCTGCATATTTTATTGCATGCTGTTCATAAATTAATAAAACTGAAGCTAGACTCTTATTTATTCCTGCTTTGTGTTGGTCTGTATGCTTGGCTACATAAATTTTTTTGCAAATTTCTTGGGCCCTACTTTATACTGACAGACAGCCAACAAATATGAGTTAGCTTAAAAAATGGAAATATTTTCCTAGATATTATTCATTTAGGCCCCAATCCTGCAAGGAGTTCTCAGAGGGTTTTTTTGTTTGCATTTCCTTAAACAAGTACTAACAAGGGTCATCGTGCAAAAACATATGTGCATATGAATAAATTTACTTGTGTGAGTAGTCCCATTGAATTTGATTGGGCTACTCATGTGAGTTAATTTACTCATATGCATGAGTCTTTTCAGGATCCGACCTCAAATTAAGCTCCAGTCCTAAAACCATTCAAGCATTTGTGTAACTTTACTCATATGAATACTCCTCTTGACTTGAATGATTACATACGGTCATCCTTTATTATGACTTAATTAGAAACACTATGGCCTTGTCTACACTTACGGCAGCATGTAAGGTACATGTGACTAATCGCTGCAGTGAAAAGGAGGCTGGAACACACTTCAGTGTGAAGCTCCACATGGCAATGAAAGGCTCTGGCTGAAGGGAGACACTACACTGCTAAAAATAGCAGTGTAGATGGCGAGAGGCACTGTTGGGGCATATAGAGAGTATGTAGAGTATATATCATAAAGTTCTGGCATGTCTTTACTCTACTCATCTAAGCAATGCCTCATCATCTACACTGCTATTTATACCTGTGCTGGGGAGCATGCAGTGTCTGTACTTCACATAGTGCCGTAAGTGTAGACACAGCCTATATTGCTGGAGCGATACGACTTTGTGTGGTTATCCTATCTGATCTCACATACTAAACATGCTTGAGCTGGGTCAGTGTTGGGATCCAAGACCTCTGCATAAAAGACAGCTGCTGAAGGAAGTGTGCTGTGGATTCTGCAGATGGCACTCTTCTCTCTCAGTCACCATTGTGCCAATGCCACAGGAGAGAGGCAAGTGGCACTTTGCTACTGGGACTGCTATCTTTTTTTGAGACATAAAACCAAGGTCCTGAAACTAATGAACACTTTTCACATGAAAAATTTCACGTGGAAATTTTTGCCATGTGAAGTAACTTTGTGTCCCTCATATTTTGTTTTTTTGTGAAGTTCATTAAATGGCTGCTTTGTCATTAGAAATGTGATATTTCAGATTACGAACATGCAAAATCTTGAAACCACTATTCACTCTCTATGCACCCATTTTCACAAGTAAATGGGCCCATTTTCAAGAAAGAAATGTGAGAAGTGACACATTTTTCATTCAGGTGGGTTTATTTTTTTTAATTTGCAATGAAAAACAAAATCTCTCTAATTCTAACAGCTTCATATTTCACTGCAAGTGTTTAACAAAAAGTCCTGACCATTTGAAATGACATTAAAGATCCTGTGACACCTTCTGCAGGAATAAGAATGTTCACCTTGTGTCCTTACCATTACTGCACTCTCCATGACAAACAGATTATGATGTAATAAAGACACAGTTTAATGGATAATACCACTGTACCTGATGTGGAGAAGAGAACCTCTTTTCATATGTCAGCCTGTTCCCTTCAATGGAGAATCGGAAACCTTTCCTTCTGATGCTATCTTCTGATTCAGATTTGTGAAAATCTTCCTCATCTTTCTCCTCTCCTTCAGACTGCTCCTTCTGTTTTCTCTTCTTCCTTCTGTTCCTTCTCTCTTTAGCACTCTTTGAACTCAACTTCGATGCTTCAGAAGAACTTTCAGAGAATCCTCCTACCCCACCTACTCCGCTGAACTCTCTTGAATCAGCTGCTACTGCAGCTGCTGCTGCTGCCTGTTTTGTCACAAAGTTACACACAATTAAAATGTACAACACTAATATTTTTAATTTTTTTTCAAGTGAGTGACTGTGATGTTTGTGAAAGTGAAGCACTGAACACATTGAACCCACTTCATAAAGCATAGCATATTTCACAAAGCACCTTTTTGTCAATGTGTAAGGAACAATAATTCACCAGTCCACTGCAATCCAGACCAAAAATGGCCCTGATATTCTAGCCTGAACCTGACAGGGAGTAGAACAGTCCAGAAGAAAACTGCATCACTGGAGCCACAGGTGAACAATCATGTTTTTGTTGGATTAAAGACGAGGGAACAATATAGCATTTTTGCAATGAATCTTAACCAGCAGACAAACTATACAAAGTTCAGGGAATGTAGTCAAAGAAAGAATGTAGAGAAAAGAAAATATAAGAGAAAAAAATCTGCAGTAACAGGGGATAACGTTTCCTTAAACCACCTTTGCTGGGTCCTTTGCACATATGGATACTTTCCAACTCCTTAATGGACTAGCAATGTCCAGTGACATCATTCCAGTAAGTGGTCTTCATAGAATTGAGTTAAACTATGTTCCACAACAGCCCTGGTGCTGCTTATAGTCTCAAACATCTGTAGAGAATTTTACTAAATAATGCTTTTTTTAAAGCTGCAGTCAGCACCAGATGTTGCTAGAAGGCACAGCTCGGCTGGTCTTTAGCCAGACACATACTAGGAAGATACAGATCAACTCCAGCTTTAGCTAGCCACTGGCCAGGAGTACGATGTCAGTCAACCAACTAGTCCATTAGGAAGTGTGAGGGGCTTCAAAAAGAGGAAAGAGGCTTCAAAGTAGGACCCAAAGGTTCATGGATTCTAAGGCTAGAAGAGACCATTGTGATCAGCTAATCGGACCTCCTATATAACACAGGCCATAGAACTTCCACAAAATAATTTCTTGAATCAAGACATCCAGTCTTGATTTTAAAATTGTCAGTGATGGAGAATCCAATATGACCCCTGCTAAATTGTTCCAGTGCTAATTACTCTCACCATTTAAAATGTATGCCTTTTTTCCAGTCTGATTCCAAGTGATGCAACACTACTCTAGTGGGGAGCACTGCCCACAAAATAAGTAAGTTTTCTTTTGGCCTGAATCTCTATTGTAATTTTCTGCTCAGTCTTGCCGTTTTCACAGCAAAATATTTGTCCTGAGTTACATTCAAGAAATGTAATGAAAAGTCATTTAGCTGTAAATAATTCATGTAGCAGAACCAGTGTTTTTTTCACATCTCCACCTGAGACTTCAATCTCCAGTGTCTCAGCAAAGTGTTCTTTACCAGATTTGTTACTAATCAACAGACTGAACTGATCATTTAGGGCTGAGTAAGGAGTAGAGCAGAGTCATTATTTCTCTATTGCTCGCCCTTGTTCAGGGGCTGTGTTTGTGTGGGGGAAGTAATTTACTACTGTGAAGGGGCAGGGTTTATTCTCATGTGCGGCTGAAAAGGACCAGGGCACAGTCTTGCACTAAAGGAGCAGTTTTGGATTACAAAGGTACCTGAGCTTCTTCTTGTTGTTTTTTCAACTGTTCAAGCATTTGCTGAAATTCTGCCTCCTTCTGCTCTGCTTCTTCCATGGTTGCTTGATTCTGTTCTTCATAGGCCATAGCAACAACAGCCAGGATCAAGTTAATCAGATAGAAAGAACCCAGGAAAATTACCAGAACGAAAAATATCATGTATGTTTTGCCAGCAGCACGTAGTGTCTGGGGAAAAAAGAAATAAATAGCTTTATCAGTTTTTTAAAGTTACTACATAGTCTCTATACATTATAATTTAGTAATGCACAATTCTATTATAATAAGAGCTTGTGTTGACACAACTGAATTTAGATAATTCATATAGTTTTTCCATATAAAAATATTGTGGGTCATATTCTGCTCACAAGTGCAAAACTAGAGTTAAATGGGCTTTGCAGAAGAATTTCTACTGGGTTCAAGGTAAATAAGATTCTGCAGCTCAGATGCTTCACAACTTCTTCTACAAACTAGAGGCTGTAGTAGTGTCAGCTGCCACAGCTCTCCCCCTAAACTGGGGTTTTATCCTGTAGATCTACACAGTAGAAGGCCCACTGGTCACACCTTATCCTTCCACACCCAAGGAGGTTAGAGACAGGATGTGCCCCTTAAGGAGGAAGCATGGTCTAGTGACATACAGAACAGTGGACTGGGAGCCAAACATGACTCTAGTATTCACTGATTGTGTTTGTACAATATACTTTACCAATTTGGGTAAAGATAGATAGATACTTTACCCACCTTAATACAGTTATTCTTGATTATTCACAATTATTCTTATGCAGTATAACCTAAGAGCCTCAGTCATCCACCAGATCCCTATTGTGCTAGGTAGTACAGAAACACAAAACACAAAGATGGTTCCAGCCCCAAGCATTCTCAGGGATATGTGGATGAAAAGCACTATGTAAATGCTATGTTGTAGTTCTAGTAGTAGTAGTAATAGTGTTTATTTTAGTGGATCCTCACCAGCTGATAAAGATTCTCCCAAAAGTCCTGAGTCATCAGTCGAAAGAGTGACAAAAACGCCCAGCTGAATGTGTCAAAGCTTGTGTAGCCATAGTTGGGGTTTCTACCAGCTTTTACACATATATATCCTTCTGGACATTGCCTACAAAAGAAGAAGAAATACTATTTTAAATAGATACTCCAAATCATTACACACTACTGTACATCATAGAAATGTTCAGGAGTATGAATTGCCAACATTCAGTCACTTACTCAAGATTAAATTATTCTCAGCTAAAATTTTACACTACAAAACAATCCAATAAAGGATGCTGTAAGGTTAACTAAGATAAAACAAATTAGAAAAGAAAAAAAGTATGTTATTTTCTAAGAACACTTCAATGCTTTAATAATCAAATGTATAATAAACTAGCCTTCCCATTCATGCTCTTGATTCTCACAAGCTTGTCAGCTGTCAGCACATCTCCTGTGGAATTGCAAAAGAGTGTCCACTGGCATGGCTGATAATAAGGGCACTACTCAGCCAGATGGCAGCAAATGTTTATTCTCAAAGTATTTGAATGCCTACTTTTAGGGAAAGAGGCTAGCCTGATGCACTTAGATAGGACCATTGCAAGTTCAAGTCATGTTGATGCTGATACTCAGAAATCCAGTATCATACTCCAGAAACTTTGTTGATTTGAAATAATAAACTGTGGAAGACACTGCAGTGGGTTGTCCGCTTGAGTTTTCCTAAGTTATATCTATACATATAACTGTTTTCATAAAAGACCATAAAATATAATGAAACATTTTCTTACCCTGCATCTGAACTATTGCCACACAGCAGAGCATCATTTTGTCCTTCCAAAAAGTAAAAATGACCTGTTTATAAAGAGAAAGGGGTTGGGGGCAAGGGGGGTGGAAGTGAGGTGAATTTACTGAAAAAATGTGTTTAGTCACCACATAAAGAAAACATTTAAATCTAAATTTAAGTGTACAAAATAATATAAACATTTGTGTTTTAAAGGAAATTAATGTAACCATAACATGGCAACCACAAACATAATTTTAGGAGAAATATCTTATAATTTTAGAACTAGGGGAAAAAGCAAAAATAATGTTTTTGACAAACAAAAGATTTTCTAACAGGTCTAGAAGACGCATTTCTTTAGAGAAACAGCAAAGCAATAGTACAGTAGAATCTTGTTAAGCCATACAAATGATTGGGAAACCCTCTGTTTTATACATTTGCAAATAACTGAACAAATACCATGAAAAAATTACAAGGACGCTGAATCAACAAAATTTATTTGTCCATATGTTTTGATATTAATTATTTATGATACTTCATAGGATACTAATTTATTCAACTACTACACTGCAATTTGTTGAAGTAATTAAATGTTAGTAACATGAGAACTCAGTACAGCATGCTGCTATTACATTTTGATTTTGAGAAGTGGAAGGAGACCACCAAGCTGTGTGTGTGTGTATGAGAGAAGATTACTAAGTCAAATTCTCTGGTGATGTAAATGGATCCATGTTCTATTGCACTTATAGTTTCATTACTGAATAACAAACATAATCAAGTTAAATCCCAAAGTAAATAAAAGTAGAGAGATGATTTTTAGATAGCCACAAAGATGTTCAAAATTCAGCCCTTTAAAGCTATCAATTGGTGAAACAGCACATGAGCAAAATGCTAGATTGTGCAGCTCTTACTCCTACTGACAAGCACTTACTCAACCAAGCAGCCCCATTGTCAGAATTAGGATAATTTTTAAAATAAGTGCTCATCAGGGTGAGTAAGGGTTGCACAATACAGCCCAATATTAAGGGAAAGCCCAAATTCTATCATCAAGATGAAGAACTATTTGTTGAAAATTCTAATGGAAGCAAAAGAGATTGGAATGTACTGTTTGGAATTAGCAGACTTTTCTTCTTTGGTATCTCCCAAACAATATATCCCAATATCGGTCTTTGGTCTAAAGGCTGACAGGAGTAAGGGGAACAGAGAATACTCATATCTGTAAGCAAAACCAAAAATATCTATTCTTTGTGGGCATTCATGGGTAAAATTGCATTTCTGGTGTGCTTCATGTAACTGGTCATTTTTTGACCTTTTGTCCTACAGTAAATTTACTCGTGAAGGAATATTGACTATGCCTCTAGCAGAATAAAACTATGCTAAGAGGAAAACTGGCCTTGAGGTACAGACATAAAGCTTTCTGTTACGAAATCAGATGATATCCCACGAGCAACATATTGGGCCAGAGGAATGACTAATCTTAAAATGCCAATGGCAATAAGAATAGGTTTGATTCACAAACGACAACTCATTTTACTTATGAAGAAATGTCTGGGAAATGCAGACCATGAAAATGTATGATGGGCTTAGAGAATCTGATCTCTAGCTTAACTACCATGTTAATAGCAGTGATTGACAATTTAAACATATTGGTTAACAATGAGAATAAGCTGAAGTGTAATGGAAGGGATAGAATTCTTAAAATCCCTAAGGCAGATTCTTGCCCCCAGTTTCCTTTGTGCCACTCAAGAGGTGCAAAAGGAACAGCAATTTACCCTATCTCCCCCTGGAATGGGGAATCTCTAATAGATGTAGCACCGTCAGAACTAGCACAACTCTTGGTGCAAGTGGCATGTCAAGGCAGGGAAGGGGAATAGCCAGAGTGAGATGTTTTCTGGTTATCACCAGAAAGCAGACAGTCCCTTATGTCTATTCTGTTTTAAAACTCACTGCAGTGATCTCAGAGACCAGGTCTACAGACTTGGGATAGGACTATGGTGCTAAAAACTGTTGCACAGATGTTTGGGTTTGGGCTGGAGCTCAGGTTCTGAAGCCAGGGGATGGGATGGGTTTCAGAGCTGGAGCTCCAGCCAGAGCCACAATGTTTTTGTGCCATAGCGTGAGCCCAAGTCTGTAGACGCGGGCTCTGAGATTCGCTGCTGCAGGTTTTAAAATGCAGTGTAGACTTACCCTTATAGACCATTGCCAGCTGGGCCACATGCAACCAGAGAATCAGGGAACTGTAACCAGCTCCTTGACCATGTCTCTACACTACTGCAACAGCATAAGCTGGACACAGTAGAGAATCTAATATAAATACAGACAGACAATGTGCAGACCTTATGCCCCAGATGTCTTAAAGAAAAACTGCAGTCCCACTCTAGGGGATCATCTAATAACTATTTAGAGAGGAAGGATGGTGCAGTAGTTAGGGCACTAGTCTGGAAATCATGAAACTTAGAATCAATTTCCTGCTCTATCACAGACTTCCAGTATAACCTTAGGTCCTGTTTTTAAAGGTATTTAGGTACCTAGTATGGATTTTTAAAAAGTCATTGGGACTTAGGTGCTTTTGAAAATCCCACTAGGTGCCTATCTGCATCTTTAGGCACCTAAATACCTTTAAAAATCTGGCCCTTAGTCTCGTGGCTCAGTTCCCCATCTGTAAAATGGAGATAATAGTAGACAGGGGTGTTGAGAGGATAAATATATTACAAGATTGTGAGGGGGAGATACTATAGTAATAGGGGCTAAGTATATAAGACAAGATCTAATTACAATGTAGGTTAAATCACTAAACATGATTGTAAGTATAATAAAATAGATCATTAACAATCAGAAAAGGAGCTGACACCTTGACAGTAATGGTATAGATTAGGACAAAGGAAATACAGCTCACCATATCAAAGCATGACAAAGACTTTCAGAATTGTTCTATACTGATTTTTATTATTTTTATTAACATTTTTGTTTGTTAATGTAACAGTTTGTGTCTTTAACCAGCTGCCTGTCTGAGACAATGCAAATGCTGCACTGGTTCCTGTACCTTTCTTTAAATCATTGTCCAAATGATAGGATATTAAGGATACTAAAGTGTTAGGTCATTGATTTAATCACAGATTAGAAATAAATGAACAGCTGTGTAATATGCAAGCTCTTGCTTATTCCTCCAGATCAAGACTCAGCTGGAGGGATTAGTTGTACTCCATCCAAATCATCTTTAAGAATTTTTTAAGGGAAATTTTAACATGCGGTGATAATATGATGATGATTTATTGATGAGAAATTTTAATCCACACTGAGACTGATTATTTATCTATACATAATGGCTTCCTTGGTTGTACCAGAACTACCAGACCTTTGACTTTTTATATCTTTAAATCTGGTTATACTACTTTAATCTTAATGGAAAGACAATAGCACCATGCTTTTCTATCTGTTTTTAAATCTTTCAGACAAAGCAATGTAATGAATCATATTATAAATTCTTACTTCTATCCTCGATGTACTCCTCCCAATTAAATGTGCTCACTGTTGTATTAACAAATGTTCCATTTTGGCCCATTGTGCTATTAAAGTAGGAAATAACATTTATTTCCAAAGTAGAATTGTCTGGAGGCCACTGCAAGCATTTGTGCCTCAAGTTGCCCATGAACAGCTGCAGCCCTATTAGTGCAAATACACTCAGACAAAACACAGTCAGGATCATTACATCTGAGAGCTTCTTCACAGACTGAATGAGGGCTCCCACGATAGTCTTCAAGCCTGCAAACAGAAAGGGATTTTTATTATGATGTTAAACAGATACTAAACATATAAAATATTATGTGCTTTTTCCTGCAAAGATAAAGATTTCATGCAGAATGACAAGAAAATGATTCTAATGTTTGTGATATAGTAAATTTTATGAAAAGCCCAATCGCTTGTGAGGATGAATGAAAAGCTGTAGGTTTATGTTCATTTGAAATTTGTGTATGGAAATAAAGAATACATATTGCCAAACACATTGGTAATGCCAAAACAAGTGATTTTATTATTCATGCTATATCTCAGCCCTATATAGAAAAAGTTTCTTGTTTTCATTTGCTGATGCTTCTTGCCCAAACCTTTATTATATTGTTTTGTTTCAAAAATTTTACATTGGTAAGACAGCAGAAAAGATCTTATTACATACTAATATTTTAAGGATACAGTGTTAAATCTTATGTTATAGAACAGGTGATGGTTTGGAGAAGAAAGACATCTTTAAAAAAATCCCCCATGCATGCCCATGCTATCCTTTATGGTTTTATTTCTTTATGTTAAATTTTTAAAACTGATTGCACGCTTCAACCCCAAGTGCTTGCAACAAATGATAAAATTTGCATCAATATGAAAGCCTTAAGATTAACTTTTTAAAAAATGTATAAAGAAAGCTTGATGTCATAAGATGCAAATCACATAGGCTGTTTACTGCAAATGTCTCATGCAAGAATTTGTTAAACTCAAAGGCTGATTCAGAAAATAAAATAAAACTAATACTAAAAAAGCAAAAAGCAAATTTAAATAAATTTAATTTTGATTCCTGCTTTTTATTTTGTTTATAATGTGTAGCAAGCAACACGGCTTATGCTTAAAATGTGTGATTAAAGCTTCAGTGGAATTAAAGTCAGCCTCAGTGTTTAACCTAGCTCTCACCTGGAATGACTGATATTGTTTTCAATGCTCGGAGAACTCTGAACGTTCTCAACGCTGAGACATTGCCCAGGTCCACAAACTCTGTCACATATCTGTAATAGGGGAGTTCACACACAAACACAATGACAGCACACAGATAACAGTTGGAGATACAAGGGGCCTAACACCTTACACCAATTACTTCTTACCTGGGATTACAGAAATAGTTTTCAAAGCTCTCAATACTCTGAAAGTTCGAAGAGCTGAAACATTGCCTAGGTTTACAAATTCTGTTATATACCTGTAGGATTAAATCACAGTTATTCAGAATTTAGGCAGATTTTATGCTACTTACTTGGGTCTTTCATCAAGACCTCTTCACCTTTCACTGTATTTTGCCTTGTATTATTAATATGCTTTCCTGACCATCAAATTAAACTTAAATGTCACTGAAGTAAACCACACTGATTTTAATTTTGAACACCTAATTTGGTAACTTTGTGGCATGAAGTCAAAGGGATCGCTTCCATTCTGGTAAACAGAAAGAAGACAGGATATGAAATTAGCTTCTCTTGAGAGTATAATCCAATATTAGTCACAATATTAGTGGCTGACACACCATTCTGGCTTCTGCAGTATGTTTAATTTTGAAATATTAAAATATGCAAAACAGGTAAAATCATTTTGAAACAACAGGAAATCCATGCTCCAAATGTTCTGCATTCCAAAATATGATGTAATTTGTAGCCACTAATTTCATACCCTCATAAACGTTAAAAATTGTTAAAAGACTTACGCGAATGTAATGACAGTGAAATCTAGCCAATTCCATGGGTCTCGAAGAAAAGTAAAATCTTCTAAACAGAAGCCCCTTGCAAGAATTTTTACAAGTGATTCAAAGGTATAAATTCCAGTGAATGTGTATCTGAGGAAAATATCCAAGCAAAAATTAATAGAGACAAATATTAATGACATATCATTTCTATATGTATTACTTTTTATAGTTATTTTATTTGATTTATTTTCTTCTTTTAAATGGCTTAAGGATTGAATAGAGGATTTAACTAACTTTAAACATCTGCAGAATTATTTGTCTGAGAAAAAAAGAATCGAAATCTGAATATTAAAATATATTATACAACTCTGCATTTGCAAGAGATGCTTAGCATCTCACAGGATCAAGCCTTTGGTTTCTGCCCAAAATTGAGTATTTTGGAAAAGTTGATAAAAATCCATTTAACTTTTTATGAATTTATTTAAAAAAACTTTTTCTTCCACTGCAAAGAATTTATTACCACACCTTTTTTTACTCAGGCAACTCAAAAATAGCCAACAGCTCCTAGCTCTCATTTCCTTCCATGAGCAAAGGGCAGCCAAAGAATGAAGATTTAGCTTGGAAGGTATTGGAGAGAGAAAGCCAACTTTGTGACATGCTCTCTTCTTGCTCCCAAATATCATAGAAGGCCAACCACGGGGATTCCGCTGAAATACAGATCCCCGGTTGGGGGGAGGGTTAGCACTGACCATATTCTGCCAGATTTTCCCCACTGCCAAAGCCACAATAAGTATAGAATAAGTTCCATGGGTGCAGTTCATACACTGTGACTTGCCCTCTATCCCTGAAGGTTCTGTGAGAACCCTTGGTAGCATCAGGCCTACTCGGAGCCTGTAGGAATTAAAACAGAGTCTGCTTCCATGCTTACCTCTAGTTACTACATGTTAAAACATCTTGAAAGAAAACCTGGCCTATTGGAGTTGATGGGAATTTTGCCATTGATTTCAATAGTGCCAGGATTTAACTAACCAGGTGGATATCATTCAAAAAAGTAAGTAATATAATAGTGTGGTCATTCAGCATTTGAGGACTATGCAAGATTTTCCTTTATCAAAGAGAACAATCAAGCTAATGTTCTTCAAATACCAGAAGCAGCATGGAGAGCAGTAGTTCCCAAACTGTGGTATACACAGTACCAGTCATCCACAGAGCACCTGCCAGTGATCTGTGGAGAGCTGGTTGTTCACAAAGTACTGGATTGCCTCCTCCTATTTTCCAGCTGTTAAATCAAATGAAAAGTTAAATCCATGAAGTATTCTCCCACTATTACTTTTTCATACAAGCAAATGCCTTAGTTGTCACCGGGATAGGGTGACCAGACAGCAAGTGTGAAAAATCAGGATAGGGGTAGGAGTAATAGTCACCCAAAAAGACAAAAACCCAAATATCGGGACTGTCCCTATACAGTCGGGACATCTGGTCACCCTACACAGGGATCTTATTTGTTTGCCCATGGAAGGGAGGTCTGCCCAATTGTGAACAGGAGGCATGGCGGTCCATGAGACAATCTCTCTATTGACGTGTTTATCACACAATGAAAAATACCAATAACCCACAATATGCAGAGAAGGGGCTAATTCCTGGCATCATTACATATACATAACTCCACTGAAATTAATGAGAAATATGTGTATAAAAAGCTTGATATACAGATCCTGTATGGCGCTACAAGCAGCTTTCCGCTCCCATGTAGAGAATGGAAGTTACAAACAACCTGTTAGAAGGGAGGTCATTTACGGTCTTGAGTTAGAGTCACAAGAGACAGAGGAAACAAGCAACAATGTCACAGACTAGTTGTGGTCAATTCATATGATCATAAATAACATAAGATCACTTACAGAAGCTAATATCAGTTTTGTGAATATATTTAAAGAAAATGCATTTAACTTACTCTACATTCTTTGTCCACTCCGGAGGGTTACTCATGGTCATAAATACACAGTTGGTCAAAATAGTGCACATAATAAACATGCTGAACAATGTAGATTATAGTCAAGGAACACACATCAGAAAAATCTCATCATAACAAGAATATTACATGAAGATCAACATTTAAGCAAATTTTCATTATCAGGAACTATTCATCCCTTCACTACTCTGTTGATGCTCAGGGAAAAAGCCCTAAATATCTCAGAATTTTCTTAGTTGTTGCTTTACATTTAAAAGAGAATAATCAGCCACTGAAATAAAAAAGTCTGACATAAAGAAAACTGAAGTTTTAAAAAGAGATGATAGATGATCTTTTTAATAAAAAAAGAGTGACTTGAGAAGGGGTGGACTATAGTACAATGGGATAATGCAACAATCTTTCAAGTCTGAAGATATGGACATAAATCTGATTTAGCTCATTAGTGTCAAACAGCTAAATTTATAGTTTCTCCCCAATATTGCTATGCTTCACAAAATCACTACATAATTTGGCATATTTTGCTGTACCTGTTCAGGGCTAGAATATTACATATGTTGCAAGGCAGGCCTATAAGACATTGGAAGAGAACACAGAGAAATTTGTCCCATACTTCAGGGGGAAGCATGAATGACACCCGCTTGTGCTATATTTGGCTTTGGTTATAATGTTAAAAGATTTTGGACCAAATTCTGTTCTCACTAATTCTGATCCAGAGTAAACACTGAAGCAAATCCAAAATCACTACATTAACTTTAATGGAGTTGCTCTGGATTTACCCCATTCACTATCAGGAGAGATAAAAACCACCACAGCCCAATAAACATTAAAGTACACCAAAATGAAAAACATACAGACATATGATATATAAAATGGCCACACGGTGGCACCAAAACCTACAAAATGTTAAGAACATTTGTATTTTAGAGACTTTGAGAACTGCTTTAGCCTGTGGCTATGACTAAAAACATAGGTGCAGACGGTACTCCTGCTCAGGAGTACCAGCATAAGGGACAGCAAACACTATGATGTTCCCCTCATGGAGTTTCCTCTGCAATCTTTTGATAAGCAGTGAGGGGGGTGAGGTTTCCAACAATACACTTCCTTCTCCCAAGACAGAAACTTAGGGTCTAGCTTCTAAATTACCCCTCCTTCTCTACTCCAGCCCTGTCACAGGATAGCTGGTCCCTGTGAATAGCAGGCCCAGCTCCCAGTGTGAGAGCAGGTGGGCCATTGAGGCCAATTAAAGGGGACAGGGCTATACCTGGGGCAACAAAATACTGTCGGAGGACAAGAAGAAGGGGAGAGATGAGTGGGATAGGGTAGGCTAGGCTAGGCTGTGTCTAGGGCTAGAAGCAGAACCAACTCCTGTGGTGGGGTCCTGGGAGCAAGGGGCCAGGTGTCCAGGAAGCCTTGGAGCTGCTGTCGCAGAAGAGTAACAGAGCTGACTGAATAATGAAGCTGGCCAGGACTGGGAAGCTGCAGGAAGCAGGGTTACCAAAGACCCCCGGGAGGGAAAGCTGTGAAACCCTAGGACAAAGGCTAAGCTCAGGGAGTGGTTTTGTTTGGTTGGTTGGTTTTGTATAGATAATAAACCCACTTAAAGGAGACTGGGTGTGACAGTGAATACTTGCAAGCTGGAGAGAAGCTCTACCAAGTCACAAGCCTCTTGCACTCTCCTCAAGACCCCAATCCCTCTCCCCCCACCACCAAATTGCCAGACTCACAGAGAGCCTTCTGCTGAGTTTGGAGAAAGATGAGCAATGCTGTTCCAGAGGCAACTGACTCCACCACACTTTCTGCCTGAGATTTCTACTCTGTGCATGGATACTAAGGGCACAATCAGTTCCTCTCTTATCTAATAATCATAAAATAATGATGGCTATTAATCCAGTCATGCAAAACCACTTTGTCTTAGAGCACTGAGTTAAAACATTAAACTTAGTATAAGAATTGAAATTTTTTTTTCAAAATAATTTACTTTTTAAATTCATTTAACTAAAATTCCACTTACCAAGCAGCCAAAAAATAATCTCAGCTATGTTGCTATCAGGTAACTATTTCATGACTAGAACGTACTGTGGTTAACGAAAGGGTGACTGACAGTGTTATAACTCCAACCATAATTCTGATGTCATAGTTCCCATCATTCCACCCACTTTCCTTAAAATCAAATTGTAAATGTAGAACTAAAATGCATAATAATGCCCTTGTCTGTGGTTTGCTTAGCAATAGAAAATTGTAAAAATATAAATATCCAGGAGGACAGAGGAACAGTGTGCACGATATATGGTTTTAAAGAAAATCTTGAAAGAGTTATTAAAAACAAGCACATGAATGCATCAAATAATTAGGATAAGAAAGACATGTAGCATATAGGTAACTAGTCTATAGTTTCACTTTCCTACAAATAATATATATCATTGGCTCCTGTTCTGTGCGATGTCTCAGTATGCAATCCACCTGGTAAGATCTCATCCACCAGGGAAATCTGTTTAAAACATGGAGACTGAAGGGTGTGAAAAGAGGTCAGTAAGTACCTTTATTTTAATTTTCTTCCCTTATATTAAAGGTTTTACAAGGCTTTGCAATATAAATAATAAAATAAAGAATAGAATAGAATAGCAACTACAAAATCACAATCTGTAGAGTACTTTCTTATTGCAACATTTTATATCTCTGCCCTCCAAACCATCATGCCAAGGCAGCACATAGCACCCCTTCCAAATCATTCTGCTAGTCTGCAATATTTGAAAGATCCCTTCTTCTCAGAATACTGTTTGCTGTGATACCACAGAAATTCAAATTTGAAAGGAGCAGAAGACAAGGGGCAGCAACTCTGAGGAGTTTTTCAACTAATCTAAAATCATGTATTCTAATAATTTTATACATTAATATATTGCACAGGGCTTACAAATGATTTTTATAGAAATGCCTCCTAAAAGCTGCATGCCCCTACTGTATTGCTGCTCCTGAGAAGTGTCTCACCATCAGAGCAGAATGGAGCAATAACAGGGGCATGTCTTTCCCACACTGTAAGACATGTGCCCACCCAATTTTTTCATAATGTGTGATCCCAACTACCCGCACCAAGATCAGCTCCATGATCCAGGAGAATTCCATAGTGCGTTGAGGGGTGTGATATTACCAGCACAGTATTTAGTTACCTTGCAACCTGGAATGGGAGTACAAAAACTAGACACTGAGGGATCTTACAGTTCTTTAAAATAATTGACATAGTACCTCTTGTTTTTAGGAGCATTGAACACATTAAAGTTATTGAAGTTACTGGGTTTGTTATGCCAATTGCATTTCAGCTTTAATAAAAGACTGTCCTTTTAAAATCATGTGACCATCTCCAAATATATAGAACACAACTCTGAGAAACAATGCGAGTAATGCTATGCACACGCTTCAGGGCTCTGATGATAGAGGACTCAAGTTTAACTCTATAAGGTTCAATCTTGCAAACACATTGAGCACTTTGCTTACTACCTTGAGTAGAGCCACTGATGTCAAGGCACTCACTACTCAAGGTAGTGTTTGGAGGATCAGATCCATAGTTACTACTAGATTCATATGATTTATGTTTACATAGAAGTGAGACAGAGTCATAGATTGCGTTACTATCATTCAGTTTTGAGGTTCTCTGTGAACTAGTCAGAATGCTCATGAGCTACTTGAAGATTAAAATTAAAGTACCTCCAGAAATACAAGTACATAAAATGGCAATGGTTGCCAGAAGAAACAGAATGATAAAAATACATATGGGACTAATAATTTATAATAAAACTCAGAATTTCAAGGAACCCTATTAACCTACGCTACTACAGCTGTGATCTGAATCAGAAAATGAAAAGGGGTAGAGAAATATTTTCTGCAGCTGTTCATGCAAGCTAAAATTGGGGATCAAAGATTACATTTTTTTTAATGCAAAGTGTCACTTAAGAATTGTAAAACATTTTAAGCAACATACCTGGAGCATGTGGGGAAAATTACTGGAGAGAGGAATAGGCAAGTAAAGTAAGTGGGTAATACCAGAGATGGAAGGAGAAAAAATAAGGAAGGTGTGGTAAGGGGAAAAGAAGAGGGAGAGGATTTGGCTGTGTGACTTCTGATCTCACCAGAACAGCTGCAGAAACGAGAGAAAGGGGAGGGAGAGAGACGAGAGAAAGCAGCAGAAAGAGGATGGAAAAAGCATTGTGGATCTTACCTGTCCTGGGATGGCCTACCAACTAATGATTTAAATACTAAAATAAAAGCAGCATTTTGTTCATTAATATTTTGAACCAACCACTTCAAAAAGGATATGAATGTACCAAAATTTTAATAGCTATTTTTCTAAGAGGATTGAAGGGAGTTAACATGTACACGGCAGAGGCGGCACTGAATCGGAAGATTGCCTTCCCTCTATTCAATACTATAAAAGTCTGAAAAAGAAAACAAAATGAAAAATTTAGAAAATATGTACAGTGGATTCTCATACTCTGCATCACTTGTGCTTCATCATTATTTACAATTAGCTGAATTCTACTCTCATTTACACCTCTGCAGACTCAACGACTTCATGTGTAGTTCACCTAACATGCAGGAGAGCCTCCAACTGAATTTCTACAAGTAGAATTGTATGAAAACATTTCAACAGCATTATTTAGAAAACATAAATATTCTATGTCTTATTTGACAGAGGACAAAGTGAGCTCTAAGTGTACACACCATTTGTGTACTGGACCGGCTTCCCCAGGTGGCAATTTAAAGGGCCTGGGGCTCCCAGCAGCGGCTGGAGCCCTGGGCCCTTTAAATCACCGCCGGAGCCTCGCCACTGCTACCCCAGGGCTCTGGCAGCAGGGCTTGGGTGGCGATTTAAAGGGCCCAGGGCTCTGGCCGCTGCTACCGCCCCGGGCCCTTTAAATCTCCACCAGAACCCCGAGCCCTGGGGCAGTGGCGGCAGCTGGGAACCCCCATGGCTTTGTCGGAGATTTAAAGGGCCCGGGACTCCGCTGTGGTAGCAGCAGCTGGGAGCCCCGGGCCCTTTAAATCACCACCGGAAACCCTGGCCGCTGCTGCTACCCCGGGGGCTCCGGCAGGGGGCTCAGGCAGCAATTTACAGGGCTGGAGGCGGTAGTGGTGGCCGGAGTCCCTGGCCCTTTAAATTGTTGCCCGAGCCTCGCAGCCCGAGCCCCGGGGTAGCAGCAGCAGCTGGGAGCCCTCAGGGCTCCGTCAGCAATTTAAAGGGCCTGGGGCTCCGCTGTGGTAGCAGCGGCTGGGAGCCCCGAGCCCTTTAAATCATTGCCATAGCCCCCGGCCGCCGCTGCTACCCCGGGGCTCCAGCAGCAGGGCTCGGGCAGTGATTTAAAGGGCGGGAGCTCTGCTGCGGTAGCGGCGGCCGGAGCCCTGGGCCCTTTAAATGGCTCCCAAGCTCCGGGGCTCCCAGCCGCCTCAGCAGCTGGTAGCTCCGGATGTGATTTAAAGGGCCCGGGGCTCCCAGCCACCACTACCGCAGCCGGAGCCCCAGGCTATTTAAATCTCGATTTAAAAGGCCTGGAGCTCTAAAGGCCCCGCCTCTTCCGGTTGAGGCCATGCGCCCCGCTCAGGACTCTGGTGTACCGGTAAGTCCTTTAAGTTACTTTCACCCCTGTTGGTGCCTATCTTATAACGCATATTAAGATATGCTAAACATAATTTTTATACATTTTTTAAAACTTCAGAATTTCCTACACCAGGTATCTGCAGTAATTCTGGTATCATCCATATAAGGAAATAGTGGGGTGGAGTGATAAACACTGATGGCCTGATTTTTCAAAGGTGTTTTGTAAACCTTATATCCCATCAAAATAAATGGAATGGAAGATGCTCAGTGCCCTTGAAAAAGAGGCCTCGAGCTTTTAAAAGCCACGCACTGTATGGACATGATATGGCATGTTCAGATTTTCCTCTCATGCACAAAGTTAAATTTTTTTCACTAAAAAAGTAGAACTAAAATTTGTTATTCTTTTTTATATTTATCATGAGGCATTTTTGGCCATGAATACATCTACCTTTCATATTTAATGATTTAAAAGCTTATCTGTGCTACCTAATTAACACACAGAATTCAGTGAAGATTTGTATTTCAATTCCTACCATCTGCCCACAGCTTCAGTAATAGGTTATATATTTTGATTGTGTTAAAATGGCATTTATAAATGGAACAGCTTTGAATGAAAATCTTTTCTTAAAACCAGAGAAGCCAAGAAGGCTCAACCTTTTATTCAATGTACCTTATACACCTGAGTCTCTGAAACATTTATATTCCACATACAAATGGAGCCAACCTAAGACCGTCTCTGCTCAGGCAAGCTCAGAGGTGGGAGAGGCTTGAGCTGCTTTCCTCCCCATGGAGAAGAAAGCCATAATATGAATGTTTGTGCTCCTTGACTGTAACAGGGACTTCTTTGCACTGCAGGCAGCACTGGACATATCAAAAGGGACATAAGCCAGTAGTATTGCCAGTGGCCCCGCTGCATCAGCTAGGAGAGGAGGGCAGCACTTAAGGAGGGCATGCTTTGCTTTGTACTATATGTACAGGTATAGTAAATGCTGCTGCTGTATCCCTGGAGGCATAGTACTTCCCTCCACCAGAATGAATGCTACAACTTTTAAACCACACACTGATTCTCACCCCCTGCCCTCTGCTGACTCCCAGAACCAAATTTTAGTCCTTAACGAGGCTTTATTTTGGTCCTCAGTACACTTGGAATTTCATTTGCTTTTCACCACACTTTTGCCCCCTTCTCTCCTTGTTTCCCTTGGAACTTCACCCCCTGCCCTCTGCTGACTCCCAGAACCAAATTTTAGTCCTTAACAAGGCTTTATTTTGGTCCTCAGTACACTTGGAATTTAATTTGCTTTTCACCACACTTTTGCCCCCTTCTCTCCTTGTTTCCCTTGGAACTTCATCCCTTTATTTCAGGAAATTCTGGCTGAAATCCTGAGCTCCTCACACGTTTTCTACTGCCCTTACTCAGACAAATTCTTATTGAAGCCATCATTTGTGTGATGCAGGTTCATTGACACACATTTATGAAATGAAAATGGAGCCTTATCTAAATGTACAAAACTCAAGGAAAATCAGTGAAAATTTATGAGAAATTCTGATCATAATGCATAAACTTGTAAAGCGTTTAAACCACCATACTTCAGAAAAATAACATGGTCTGCAACATCACTATCACATGGCCAATTTTGAAACTGTTTTAGCAATCAGAAGAAAGAGGCTATCCCATTTTCAGTATTAATAGCAATTACTTTTCTGATGTCTAAGGCACAATGATCTTGATGCTAAGTTTCAGATCTCCAGCGGTGAGTCCTACATCATTATTACTGGAGAACTGAGGGGGAAAAAACACTAGCAGCTGGCCCCAAATCCTGCTTGCCTTACTCCCAGACTTCAGCAGGACTACCTACTTGAGTAAGGCAAGCAGAATATGAAGTGTTTGTCAGTATGTGAACTTTCAGAACACAACATTGAGCAAATAAAGACACATATTTCTTCTTAAGGCTTCTATCTGTCTTAAGCTCATCTCATTATGATATTGCTGTGGTTTCAGAACTGAAAATGATTGATGGGGATTGATATATTTCCTTGGTTTACTCAGCTAATGTATCACTCTTAATAGTAGTTGTTTTTTTGTTTTTGTTTTTAGAGAGTGCTAGTTAATTCTCAAGGGGAATATATTTCCACATACAGCAAAAAATCCTGAAGACAGAAAATTCCATGAATTTCAGCTAGCAGAGTTTCCTCTGGCTTATCCTGGGATGGGGCAGGTTTTTCTGTTTTTGGAGTAGGTACAGTGCAAAGCCCAAAACTTGAAGATCTGGGACATCAGAGGAAACCAGGGCGATCTGCACAAAGGCCTGGTATTTCTGTACTTCTCTGCCTGGCTCCAATGGGACATATGACAGGATTATGCAAAAATTTTACCTTTCCATATTTCCATTAAAAATGGCATATTTCAATAAAATATTTTTAAAGAGTATAAAGAGTTTTTTTATGTTATGGGTAATCCAGCAAGGAGCCCTACCTCTTCCCATATTTCCCTACCTCTTTGACTGCAAGCTCTCCTTTGAGCCCCTTATTACAGTAACCTGATTCTGGATAAGGAATATGCTTCAAAGACTAACAGTCCTTCACCCAAATTATCTAGGAAGAAGATACAATGTCTCTGAGATTACAGGGTGAGGAGGAATGCATTTGGAGCATACTGATATACTATCTCTGCCTAACTCCTCACCCCTGACAACCCAAGTAATGAGAGAATAGATCAGGAATAAAACCTAAGTTTTCCACATAATAGTGAAGAAAATGAGCAAGAGGGCCATTCAAGGCAGCTTTTCAGTGGGTTTCATAATGAAAACACTGACATCCTTAAATGACGATTTTACATACAGTTACAATTAGAGTGAAATGCCAAGTATATTATAATAAAGCTAACAGTGTATCACAACACCCAAACCAGGGGCCTGATCCTGCAAACACATTTTACTGCATGCAGTGCCAATGAAGTCAACCATTAGAGCACTACATCTGGGTTGGGCCCAAAGTAGTGGAAAAAAGGGAGTCCTGCAGAGGGTCTATAGTATTTTAATACTCTTAATCTCTAACAGAAACATGTTAACTGCAGTCTTAAGAAACACTCACTTTTTTATTGATATAATATGGGTCCAGATCCTCCAAGGGCTCGGACACCATTCCTGGAGGTATGTCGCCGTAAATAAATGGCAGTGACTTTCCTGCCTCCAGATCACTGTTTGGTTTTGGTCCATTTTCATCATCATCATCTTTACGTTCTTTTTTAGACTTCTTAGCTTTTTCTTCAGCAATACGTTGTTCGATAGCTGCAAGTGACTCTCTCGTGAAATAGTGGAAGCTGTCAGGTCCTGGTGGTACCAGCACTGATTGTGCCATCTTTTCATCCTGCACTTCTTAATTACCGTTTAGCCTCACACATAAAAAAGTGCTAAAAATATAAAAACACAGAAAAATATTAGACCACCACCACACAAGCAATTTAAATGGATACACCTTCATATCACTGTCTGTAGGGCAATGTATTAAATAGGGTACTTATATGAGAACAGTGTGTTGTGAAATTGATCCACTCATTCGTTTTTCTTTCAAGATAGGGCATTTAACTTTTCATTTGGTCTCTTTAGATGTCTGGAAAAGAAGCAAATCTTTAAAAATTTAGTTTAAAATTAATTTATTGCTTATGAAAAGTGATGAATTGGCAGCTATAGAGAGTGTATACATTAATTTTAAAAGTAAGTAGAAAAATTGTTTCTTTTCTTCCTCCCCCCACCCCCCCTGGAAAATGTTGTGACCATTCTAATGAATGAGATAGTTAGTGGGTAGTATAAAAGGATTTTTCCCACACTCACTGAAATAAATTAACAGTTAAAAAAATGTTTATTATGTGGTGTCGGGTGGGAGCATCCAGCACAATTGCCCTTTTAACACTACCACCATGAAAGGTCTTATGTCAGACCAATCCTCCCTCTGTGAGGAGGTGTGGACATGGCTCCCTCAGGATCCCATCATTGACACTGAAAGCATCAGCCAGAGGAATGCTCCCTCTTTTCAGGGACAAGCATGTTGGCTTCACAGATTAGGGAGCAAGGAACCAGGTTTAGGTACCTGAACGTAAATCCCCTCCCTGGTAACATATCAGGTGCTGAAAGAATTTCTGTGTTAAATCCAAATTGGTCTTCGCTACTAAACATTCTTAGACTTTTTATTATCTGTTGCTATCTTTAAATTGTGTATATTTTGCATAATCTTCAGAACTGAGAGCAGAACCATCTTCTTTTAAAGCCACCTTATACTTCTGCCAAAAATGACAAATGGAAAATATTTCCAATGCAGAGATACTATGATCCGAAATCATGAATGTAATCTGTGCATTTGATAATTTCCCCAAGATTTTTTTATCTGAATGGGCAAATTATATTATCCATGTAATAAAACAGCAAATGTAATACAAGATTAACAGCTTCAGTGCCAGATGATATACCAAAAAAGCAATTATCAACTTAAAATGATGCGACAATCTGAATTTTCCTGCACGCGCTGTTTTTTTATTTCCCTACTAAGTACACGTAGGCTTGTCCGATTCCACCACAGCTGCAGCAACTTCATGTTTTCAGAGCTATCTGAATTGACGCTAACACCATGTCTAATTCTCCATTCTTCCGTCCTCACCATACACATAACCATCTCCTCCAACACACACACACAGGCATGCTGCAACTTATGCAGGTACATCTGTGAAACGCGCTCTCCTATTGCAGTCAAATTCACCTGGTGCATCCTATTATGGATGTTTTGTAGAAAATTGCTGTTGGAACACATGTACAGTTTGGTGGCAGCAGAAGGGTTAATTATGAAAATGAAAGTGGTACTACTGCAAAATCCTTACAGATTTTATTGTTAATGATAGAAAAAGACAGAATCCTCTCTAAACACTATAGGTGACAATTAAAAAAATGCATTACCAGTATAGAATCTTGCACCTGTGTGGATTTGGAACGACATCATGAAGAATGCAGCTAAAATTCCATCATGCCTTTTTTTTTTTTTTTTTAATTTTCCTTCAACAGACCACACCTAACTTCCTGCTAAAGGATCCTGGTTATTGAAGTAAAAACTGGCATTTCCTGTGCAAGAGACTACTAGCTGCTGTAACTGTAACAACCATTAGATGGCATTCATATATGATCAGAAGACATTTCTGTAAGAAACCAACTGCAGAATTCAACTAGAAACTTTGGATACTCAAACACTTGCCTAACCTGAGGCTTTTGCATTGAAAATCTGGCTTTTACAGAATCTCTCCAATTTTCACGACTCTATAAACTCATGCAACATTTGTTGATGCTGAGATCACAGATATTAAAAGTGTGAAAATTACACTGACCAAAAGAGAGGAGGAATAGAGAAATGGGTGTTGCCCAGGCTGGCTGCAACTAAGGCAGTTCTTGAGACCTATGGTAGTCTAGATTAATTTAAAGTAAGGGATACATTTTTTTACCAATATAAATGAATTAGATTTATTTGGTGTCTTTTCAACACAAGCAGCAGAGAAATGCAGCCCTCGGGTGCAAGTTGCAGGTAGAGGGTGGCAGGTATGGGAGCTCAATGCTGCACTGAATCTGTGCTCAGGAATGCAGCCAGGATTTACAGTGCCCAAAACAAGATGCAGAAGCAGGAACCTTAGAAACTCGACCCCGAGGCAGCCCACTGAGTAATCCCCTTTGGGCCCCACTCCAAATGCTGCCTTATTTCCTTTTCCTTTTCTCTCTCCTGCTTTCTCTGGATTTTCTATTCTTAACTGTTTTTATTTTTATTTATTTTTTTCATTTGCTCACTTGGCTAGCTACCCTTTCCGTATCTCTCCACCACTATGTTCTATCACTCACTTTTTACACCCATACTTACCCTTGTCCATTCCCTCTCAAGCAGGGCCGGCTCTACCATTTTTGCTGCCCCAAGCTCGGACTGCCGCCGTCCGAACTGCCGAAGCGCAAAAAAAAAAAAAAAAAGCTGCCTGGACTCTGCCGCCCCAAGAATGGATGGAATGCCGCCCCTTAGCATGTGCCGCCCCAGGCACGTGCTTGCTCTGCTGGTGCCTGGAGCCGGCCCTGCTCTCAAGCACTCATTCATTCATTTTTTCACTCCATATCCATTTCATTATCCAGCAGCTGCTGCTTTTCTCTTGGGTTGTGAAGAGGAGCCCAAAGAACAGTGGGCCACTGCAATTTGAGGCTGGAATGGAGAAGGGAGGAGTAAGGAAACTATGAGGCGCAGGAAAAGCCCACTCCTGTGGCCTTGACAGGACGGAGTCAGGAGGGAGGGAAGCATGAAGTCACGCTGCAGCTTTAGGGGAGGAGGATTATGAGACAGAGCCCCAGATTCAGAAGAGATGCCACTCTGGGGGAGAGGGTACAGAGGCTCCAGCAAGAGCCATTTCCTCAGGTAGTAGGGAGGAAAGGAGAGAAAGTGTCCAGAGTTTCAGGAGGAGGAGTGGAAGAAAAATAGCTGTGTGATTTTTCACTGTGGTCCAGAGCCCAAAAGGAGCCACTACAGTAACTCATGCACTGTGTGCAATCTCATCATCAGAGTAGTAGGTGACAAAATAAAATCTCAGAGGGGTCAAGGCTGTGTCATTGTTCAGCACAGCAGTGCCCAGAACAAGGGAAGCTGTCTAGCTAGGCAAGGCTTGATGTGCAGGAGTGGTCAGGGCCGCCCAGAGGATTCAGGGGGCCAAGGGTCTTCGGCAGCGGGGGGCTGGAGCGGAAGGACCCCCCGCCGCCGAATTGCAGCCGAAGACCCGGAGTGGAAGAAGCTCCGGGGGCCTGGGCCCCACGAGAGTTTTCCGGGGCTCCCGGAGTGAGTGAAGGACCCCAATCCAGGGGCCCCGAAAAACTCTCATGGGGGCCCCTGCGGGGCTGGGGGCCTGGGGCAAATTGGCCCACTTGCCCCCCCCCCCCCGGGCGGCCCTGGGAGTGGTAGAGGCATACCACCCCAAGCTTAAGAAAAATGCTTTAGGTGTCCCCCAGCAGCAGCCCTGTGTATGCTAGCTCTCAACAAATAACAATGTAGCTGTCTTGATTATTTCACTTTGCTTTAGACTAACAATTTCCCACCAATACTCCTTTAATTTTTCTTTAAATACATAATTTAAACCATGCAAATGTACAATTCAAATAGTAACTATCCATAAATACAGTTAATATGCTCAATTCAAAGACATCACACATTAAATACTTTAAGTCATGAGATTTCTACTTTAGCGTCTAATGTCATGTGGATTATATATATATAATACATAGATATGTATATGTATACATAAAAGCTCAAATAAACCAAATACCTCAAAAGCTTGCCTAATCCACACAGTTTGGGTAAGAAGTCTGATTCCATCATTATTGTAATGTAAGATAATAAGCACCACAAAACTAAGCAGGAATGCTATTCTCCCCCTGCCAGGCCATCCTGTATCCTGAAGAACAAAACAACACACATGTACAGAAAGAAGTGATATATATACAATGAAGACATAAGAAAAAAGGACCAAGGGACACACAGAAGAAGAAAATAGTGAGAGCAAGTAAAAGGACACAGAAATAACAAAAAAGATGAAAAAATAAATTTGCAAGACAAGAAAGAGGATGACCTAAAGCCTTGATCCTGCAGATGACAAGAAAATCAGTGGGGAATACTCACAGCAGTAAATACTGGTCTCTGATGATTGGATAATAGACTTTAAAAAGTGTGGACATTATATTAGTAGTTAATTTGCAAAAGTTGCATAAAAAGTTGAGATGTGTGATTTTTATTGTACTAATGTACGGACCTGAGATTCTATGGCACCTCAACCCAAACTGTAACATCTGCATGCATAGGCTAAAAAAGGGGCATTGGAGAGAGAGAGCGATAGAAAGGGAAGAAGCAGTGGCAAAATGTGAAGTGAAGTGAAAGGGCACTGTGGAGTGGACATGAGGGCAGCATGTACAGCTCAATGTATGCTGCACTACAGAGAACTATATACCTATAGGGCGTAGAGTACATTAGTACAGCCTGGGTGTGACAAAGATAGGGATTACCATTGGAAGAGCTGTATCTGAAAATAATGGACTGACTCTCCAGAGAAGCTGGAGATGGTAATTGCCACTTAAAAAAATCTTGATTGAGTTTATAATTAACAATACCTAAGATAGATAACTTCAGCAACAAACAAATGTAGACCTCAATCAAATAAAAAATACAATATAACCTACATGTACACATTTTTTAAGTATACATAAAACTACACAAAATGTTAATGGAGAATGAAAAGTAGCTATGATAAGATAACAGCCAATCTTGATCACTGTCTCAACATAGGCCTCCAGGTCAAAGGAGCAGCC